CTTCTCCCACCCCTCCACCCCTACTTTTTGTGTCCCCAGTATCAAAAAAGAGCCTTTTCCCTTTGGTTGTAACTACTTCCAAGTTATGGGATACTCCCACAACTCCTTGTACATTTTTAAAATATATTCCAACCTTTTTAGCCCAGACAAGGTAGTTACTGCTTCCTTTCCTGAGTACTCCTCTTGTTAAGAGTCACTGCTGCTGTTTTGGGTGTTTATTTCCCTTAAATCGGATCTTTCTCAGAGCTGGAGTTTCGATCATCATTCCAAGTAATGGGTGCACTGTGTCGTGGGTATTGCTGTGCATTATTAAAGAAAAGTGTCACCAGTAAAAAAAAAAAAAGAGAGAAAGAACTACATATAAATTGTATGTGGAAGCTACAGAGCATTGTTGAGTCAGTTTAACCATGTGATTAACCAGGACTCCCTTATCGATGCCCCTGTATTTGGCCATCTATAAATGAGGAATAGTTGGGTGCCTGGGTGGCTCAGTAGGTTAAGCATCTGCCTTTGGCTCATCATAAAAAATAAAAATTAAAAAAAATTAAAAATAAATTTTAAAAAGTTGAGATATAATCTAATATTGGACAAGATCATAAATTCTCATTATATTCATAAATTTTCATTATATTCATTATTTCATTAGATTCATTCCTCGAAAGTCGTGACTTAACTCCCTCCTTTTTTCAAAGACCTCTTTGAGAATGTGATTAAACTGATTAATTGAAAAATTACACATACATATTGATATGAAATCTTGGGGTCCGGTCAAGAAAGAATTCTTGAGACGTCTTCAGTGGAAAAAAAGATGGTTTTATAAAGCACGGGGACATGTGCCGAATGTGGGGACACATGCTGACATGACCCATGGGCAGAAAAGAGTCGCACTGGAGTTGTGACAGGTGACTGATTATATACTTTCAAGTTGGGAGGGAGTTAGGGATAGCAGAAGTCTCTAAGGAATTTGGAAGCAAGGTTTCCAGGACCTTGAGGGATCATTTACTACTGTCTAGTAGAACCTTAGTCATGAGACTCTTCAGATATCTATCAGTGGGCCCTATACTTGGAGGATGATTCCAACATATATGGGGGTGGGGGGAGTAGAGATAAAGGATGTTTCCAAAGGGATTTTTATATGTTAAAGAAAATCTACAGCATCCTGGAGGTCAGGCTAATGTCAAGCTAAGGTTGCCTTTTGCCTCTAGCAGTTGAGTTCCTGGAGGTAGGTCACCCTGCTTATCTTAAGTACTTGCCAATGGCTGCAAAGGAAATTTAATTGTTTTTTTCCTTTTTCTCCACATCACACACAAAGTTACAAATTTTGTATAGGTTGGGAATGTCGGGTGCCTCACTTTAAGAGTTCTGCTACACTATAGGACATTAGCCAAACATTCCAATTTCTTCTGAGAAACACCCAAATTCAGTAAGGTTTTATCGGGCCTATCTATTAACAGCTTTATGTAGGTACAATTAACACATAAACTATGCATGTTTAGTGTGCACAATTTGAAAAGCTGATGTGTATGCACTCATCACACCATCACAAGAATCAAGATAACGAATTATCTTGATCAGCGCTCCACTATTCCTACTGTCCTTGTAATTCCTCCCTTCTGCTCAAATCCCAGCCTCTGAGTAGCTTTCTGCTGATTTCATAGAATTTTATACCATCATAGCGCGATTATTTTGAGATTTACTCATTTCGTCACATATATCAGTGATTCATTCCTTTCTCTGCTGAGAAATATTCCATTGTGTAGATGTACCACAATTTGTCCACTCCCTGTTAGTGGGCATTTGGGTTGCGTCTAGTCTTTAGCTATTACAAATGAAGCTGCAAGACCGCTAGAACATTCATGTGTAAGTCTTTGTAGAAACATTTGCTTTCATTTCTCTTGGGGAAACCACAAAAACTAAGAATGGAATGGCAGGGTCATATGGTAAGTATACATTGAACTTTTTAGGAAACAGGCACACTTTTTCAGAATGATAGTCCCTTTGATTACATCCCCACTTTTGGTGTATGAGAGTCACTTTTGCTTCTCATTCATGCTAACTGTTGGCCTGGTCACTGATTTTTAGACATTCTAAGTGTCTCATTGTGAGTTTAATTTGCTTTTCCCTAACGACAGCTGATGAACATCTTTCATGTGCTTGTTTGCCAGCCTTATATCTCGGTGAAGTGTTGGTTCAAATCTTCATTTTTAATTGGATTTTCTTATGATTGAGTTTCAAGTGTTGTTTAGTTTGCCTATAAGCCATTTATTAGATATGTTAAAGTTATCTCCCAGTCTGTGGCTTGGCTTTTCATCCTCTTAACAGTGTCTTTTAATGCTATTCCTCATATATGTATATATATATATGTGTGTGTGTGTGTGTGTGTGTGTGTGTGTGTGTATGTATTTTAAGATTTTATTTATTTGACAGAGAGCAGCAGAGGGAGAGGGAGAAGCAGATTCTTCCATGAGCAGGGAGCCCGGTTTGGGACTCAATCCCAGGACCCTGGGATCATGACCCAAGCTGAAGGCAGACGCTTAACCGACTGAGCCACCCAGGCGCCCTCAACTTTTTTTTAAATAAGAACACACAGTGTGTAGAAGATCCCAATTACACTTCACAGTGGAGTACACACTCCAATGTGTTTTTCCAACACCACCAAGCAATTCTCCAATTCTCAGCAGACATTGACTTAGGTGTCCTACAATTTAGCTCAATTCTGAGCACTTGGAGAATGAGGCAGACCCCACAGATTAAAGGCACACTCTCACAAAACGGTACCCTTCCCTCCTGCTTCAGACGCCAAGACCAGATTGTCATCTGTATCTCTCACTGGCTCTAGACGGAAGGTTCCTGCAATCTCTTTCTTGGGTTTGATTTATTTGCTGGAGTGGCTCACAGAACTCAGCATTTACTTATATTTACCATTTTATTATAAAGGATACAGAACAGCCAGAGGAAGAGGTACACAGGGCAAGGTCTGAAAGGGTCCCCTTGGAACTGGGGTGTACCACCATCCCAGCATATGGGTGTGTTCATTGACCTGGAAGCTTATTAGTCTTGTCCAAGAGTTCTCAGAGGGGTGCCTAGCTGGCTCAGTCGGTGAAGCATGTGACACTTGATCTCGGGGTTGTGAGTTCGAGCCCCTGTTGGGTGTATTTAAGAAATAAATCTTAGAAATCTTAAAAAAATAAAATCTTAAAAAACGAGCTTTCACAGAGCTTCGGCAGCAGCACTCCTCCATCTTCCCCATCCAGAGGCCTTTAGGCAGAGCTGAAAGCTCCAACCTTCTAATCATTTGGTATTCCTTGTGACCAGCTCCACTCTGAGCCTATCTAGGGGCCCACCCTGAGTCACCTCATTTACATGAGCTCAAAAGAGCCTTCTTATGAATGACAAAAGACACTACAATCATTCCGGAAATTCCAAGAGTTTGAGGAGCTTTGTCTCAGGACCAGGGTTCAAAGACCAAATATATTTCCTTTTATACCACACATACCCCTCTTGGATTGCCTGCCTACAGCCCAGGGATTCCCCTTCTCTGGTACATGTACCTTCTGCCAGGCCACAGCTGTTCAGACCAGAAAGAGAAACTGACTCACTGAAGGGAAATGAACAATGTCCCTGGGGAATATGAAACCGTAACTGAAACCGATTAAAAGCAAAAAGCTGAACAAAAATCAAAATGGCCATATTAAGGTCATGGCAAGACTCGATTTTAAACTAAGTAACCTTTTTCCTCTCTCCCGCACACCTCCTCTCCTTCCTTCTTGGTCTTCTGTCTCAGGAACCCTGAACCACCCTGAAAACATGACCAACAAGGCTGGCAGCAGGTACAAACTCCTGTCGAAACTGGCTAGATCCTCTATTTCCCTTACCCCCCCAACCCAGCCCCTTCCTCCCGGTAGGCTGCGTGCAGTTTTTGAACGTCAGCCTGCTGCAGCCTCCTTTGCCCAGCAAAGCAATAAAGCTACTTGATGTGGGAAACAAAGGCAGAAGAAAAATTACTAAATTCCCTTACTCCTTACAGACCATTGACAAGTCCTTGAAAATGGCCGAGTGACGTTCCTCTAAGGAACTCAGCTGCCTCGATGTCGATACTTTGCTAAGGATAAGAGGCAATCTTAGCCCGACCCCTAGAATCCTGTAAGTCTACTTTAACATATATGAAAATTCCTTTGGAAACTTCCTTTATCTCTACTCCCCAAGATTCACGTTGGTCATCATCCCCCAAGCCTACGACCCACCGATACACATCTGAAGGGTCTCATGACTGAGTTTTTACTAAACAGTAATAAAGGACCTTTTCCTAATGATAGCTAGTTCCCTCAGGGCCCTGGAAACCTTGTTTCCAGTATACCCGGAAGACTTACGCTATCCCTAACCCCCTCCCAACTCGGAAGTATGTAATGGGCCACCCCTCACAATCCTGGGGTAGCAGCTCTTTCTGCCCATGGGTCCTGTCCCTGGTGGTTTATTTAATAAAACCACCCTTTTTGCACCAAAGATGTCTCAAGAATTCTTTCCTGGCCGTCAGCTTCGAACCCTAACATCTCTTCCTACATCAGTATTGTTCCTCTTTATCCCAAACTCGGTCTTCGTGTTCTATTGTGACTCCAAACTACGGAGGTCCGTTTTCAACAACATAACTAAGAGCCTAATGATGATCTGATTTCTTACTTGTACAAAGATAAAACTCTGGGAACTATTTGGTTTGGACATTATCTGCCATGTGGACTTCCTAGGAAACAAGTGAAAAGGAGATGGCTAAGAGAAAGAGCTTTCTGGTTCCTCCTCCGTATCCCTGAGTCTGGGTCTCTGGTCCTAGCCTATTCCAAAAACCCAGTTGTACCCTGGACTTCCTTGAGTTCCGTAAGCACCCACAACAGGACCTCACTCTCATAGTAAATTCCCAATGCTTTGTTAGCTTAGGTAGTTTTCTATCACTTGCAACAGATTGTTAAAACAGATTTTTATCTTTAAAGGAAACCACTGGGTTCGTGTCATATTGGAAAAGTAATTATTTATTATGACAAAAATAAAACTGCTGAAAACAAATGAATGTTACACTGTATTGCACCATGACTGCAAATGAGCCAAAACCTGTCTAAAAGATGAACATTCCAGAGCAAACAGCATCCTTTTTACTTGGGTGAGTAGGCATGCAAGCAACTCATTATAACATAATTGCAGAGATCAAAAAATTCATGAGTACCAGCAACCTAAACTTAACATATAAAAGCATTTTATGACAGTAACAAAGCTATTAAAAAAATTTAAAACAGGTCTTTAAACAGCCCCACCATTAGCAGAACATGCTTTGAACCATTTTCAAGAAGTGATGATGTAAATGCATCAAGTAATTGGTTTGCTCTTAATTTTATTAATGCTATATACTAGACCAATAGCACACATTTCAGTTGCTTGGTTGGGGTTAAGAAGCACAGTTGGTGGCGTGAAACACATTCTTTTTTCCCTTCTATGCAATACCAAGGGACCCACAAAGAGATCCAATGCCTAATTTTGCCCATATTAATACCATCTATTTTGACCAAGCTAATTAGCTAAGATATTGTTACAGCTTTTGTAGAAACAACAGTTTGTATTTAAACCTTAAGAAATGAACATAAATATAAATACACTTTAAAGCAGTTTTACATTCTGAAGCAAGAAGTATATTCTACAGGGCCTGCTGTTTCCTCTTTAATGGTCTAAAGCACCAATTTATATGAAGATGGCAATGTGTGATTATAACCATTACATTCTGATTAGGAGAAATCCAGGGACTAGGCGGTAATTGCTTTTAGTTTTTGTTTCTTTTCTTTTTAAAAACCATGCTCTGTGCAAAAAATAGGGTAAAATTTAAAACTGTTACATAATTGGAAAAAAAATCATAACCATCATTTTATAATCCACTTTTAACAAAATAGCAGCTAAACTTTTTAATCGAAATTAAAAATTTCATAACTACACTGAACAGTTTACTCCAAGAGAATAAAAGAGGGGCTTCTCGAGTCCTTGAACTTCCTGAGGGAAAATGTAAAAGGATTAAAATAATCATTTCTTATGAATAGGGACAAAATATGCAAATACATTATGCACAACCAAGATCAAATGACAGTCATTTGGTATTTTCCCAACACGGAATGAAATACAGTCACAGTATAATATAATCGATCAGATTTTAGGGTTTTTCCTTGCCCTTATTTGATTTTTAATGAAACGAATTAAGTACTGGCTGAGCACTTGCCTGTGTGCTTTAATGAAGACATTAAGTGAATCTGCTATACCACGTTAGCCCTGCTGGTGGCAAACAAGAATAAAACGAAATAGAATATCCAAGGAATGCTATCCCTTAGCTGTGAATTTTGCATATTTCAAACACAGTTTGGGTGAAGGGGGTATTTATGGGTGTAACATCCCACAAGCTTGAGCAAAGCACCTTATGGATTGAAAAATGAGGTAACTTTTTAATTAAAATTTTACAAGTTTGTGCAAGAGAACATTTCCATTCTTCTAGAACTCTTTTATCTATTCCAAAAGATATGTACGGCACATTTTATTACTTCTCCATTTCCAGGAGACAATGTAGGTTACCAGTTTAAGAAAAAAGTAAAAAAGATGTGACTGACAACACTAACAAATTCTAAAAACCTGATCAGTCTTTGGTCCTTTGGCCACTTTAAAAGTAAGATATCTAGCTCTACAGTAAAAGACCGTACTTTCTAATAATTTTTAAGTGCCTTAAATGAGGGAAATTCCCTGTCTTCATTCACATTTTCTATTACTTAATATCCTTTTGAAGATTTTTCTACCTCATGTTTATCTTTACTATCAACTGTTTTGACATTCGTTTCTAGGTACAACTCTATACCCCCAAGTTAAACTTTCCCAAACATTTTACCAAATCATATACATTTAAAACTGATTTTGGATCTGTTGAACATAATATTTTTTCTACTTTAAAATGGAGAAAAAAAATTTTTAATCGACCTTCTCTTTTTATTTTTGGCTACCTGGAACTTTTAAAAAAATACTTTTTGGGAGCCTTGGATTTCAGGCTTCACAGTAATGCTAAATGAGTAAGGATGAGACATTACGGAAGGAACCAACCTTGAATGTAAACTACTCTCAGATTTACACGGACGTCTGTAAAAGTACTGACAGCCTGGCTGCGCTATTGTTTCAATACTGAAAAGTCAAACAGCACCGGGAGCTTGGGGTAGCATCTAAAGCCAACACCCTCTGAACAAACCAACCACTTCTAATTAGTAAAAGCCAGGAAAATAAGCAGGCTATACTCTAGAAGAGAGTATTTTAAACACAACACTGGTGTTTTATCAGCAGCTTAAAAGAATTTTCTTAGCAATATGGCTTATTTTCTCTTCTGCATTGTCATTAGCCTTAGCTCAACTGAAGCGGAGTAGCAGTTACTAGTTGATACTTTGTTTTCTTATTTGATTGTATTCATAAACTGAACAAAATGATGAGGTGGGAATCAAAGAATAGATAAAAGTGAACTTAATTTCCTATTACGTGTCCTTCCCTAGTATTTTTAGTTTTTTGACTTTAATGTAGTGTATAAGGATTCAGGATTTTAAAACCAAAAGATAAGGAGTTCTAGTTGGCTTAAGTGCCACAGTATGGGGAAAAAACAGAAAGGCCGTGAACAGTAACCATCTTAAGGTCAACTAGACAAGTAAGGGTCAAATTAAGATTCAAATACACTTCTTTAGACAGCCAGCACAATATTCTACTAGATACAAGTTACAAGACTGCATCTTGAAGTGACTTTATCCCAACAAAATATAAAAGATCCTTTAGAATTGAACTGGATATAAAATATTTTGGATCCAAAGCCACAGATGAAAAGATGAGACTCATGAAGCTGGTCTTCAAATATAAATGTCAATGGAATTTACCCATCCATAGGCATACTACTACTACATTTTTCTACTGATATAGTTTTACATAGCTAAGAATTAAATGAGTGCTAGTCACAAACAATTCTATTTCTAATTTGTCCTAAGATACTACACCAAAGATTTTTAAAAATATAAAGATTTATTGTTTTCTTTAAAATTTTCTTTGCTTTGTTGATTCCCCATAGCTCTTCCGAGAATACTGTTTACAGCACTGCCTGTATCATTCACTGTTTCCATAGGAAAATAATTATTTTCTCTTGATGCTATAGAAAATAAAAGTTAATTTATGCTTAAACAAAATGACTTTGGCTCTAAGGGTAAGTGCCCATTTAAAAATTATTTTTAACAATAAAACTTGAATTTATTACCTTTCTTCTAATGAATACAGAATGAAATTATACCTTTAAGCACACCTAACACAGAACCTAAAAGCAAAAATTATGTATTTAACCATGAGTTTTCCAAAAGATTATATATATATATATAATTTCAGATTTTAAGGAATTAAATTACACTAACAATACAAATTATGTAGTATATTCCCATATAAAAGGGCCTGTTAATTCTAAGAGTTCCCAAATGCGCTGCAATAAGCACAGTGGGCTTAAATATGAAGAAAGTGTTCAAAATGAAGAAAAATGCCATATTTGGGTGGCAGTTACATTTCAGTTCCAATAAAATATTGAAAAGATTTGTTAAACTTTCATTTCTTCATCCTCAAAATAAAAATAAAATCTAGAAAAATCTCCCAAAAGTAATGTGGGTGGGTCCCTTGCTTTCCACTAGGTACTAGAAACTTTGCTAGGCAACTGAAGGGTTGGCGGGTAGGTGAATCTCGAATTAGTTCATTGTCAAGTTAATCAGCTGTTAATCTGACTTCTAAAGAACAGGTATAGTACAAAATTGAGAACTCATCTCAAAATGTGAATAAAGGCACTAATTACAAATTTACATTTTTCATCAGATAGTATCTTATAGTTAATTGACAATGCATGTCAGAATCAATGCTTTAGTATTAGATACCCGCTTGGGTCAAACAAAACATTCTCTTGGAGTAAAGGATAATCAGTGTTCATATCACTGTAACAGGAAATCTCTAATGAGAACCTATAAAACACCTTTAAAAAGTCTTACATGAATTTCCTATTTGAACTTTTCCCAATCATTGCCACAAAAACTAGTGGGATGTCGATTTCATTTTTAACACAACTAACATAAACCATTTCTAATCCCAAACTAACAAAATGCTTTTTTAAAAAATTTAGAAAATAAATCGTATTTTAAAAAATTAAACAGCAAACTTGAATCTATACTAGTAGTTGTTTGACAAACATGATCAACTATTAAAAACACTTTCAATATAATGCTGATGTGGTAATATAAAAAAATAACCGTATAATTTGATAGAAGAAAACTGAACCAGCCAATCTTACTAGATATAAGAAGATAAATTTCATAAGAATGGATACAGGGGTGGTGTTAAATATGTTTTCTCAGGATGGAGCTAAGAGAATTATCTTCAGTATTTATGGCTAAACTCTGTAACCAAGACAGAAACTCTGGCAAAGTGTGCTTTAGGTAAATGGTATCTTCATATTTCCTCCTGCCCCTTGCCCCAAACACATACCACAAAGCATCCATATTGATTTATGTTTGCTTTTCTCTCATGTTCTAGATTATGGATTTTATTAAAAACAAAATTTACTCTCTACCTGGTATAGAATCACTAAGAAAAAGGTTCAAGACAAAGTTAATAAACCGTTAGTTCCCAAAGTCCAGAAAGCTTTCCTCTGGTCATTTTTCAGTTCTAGGGGGTGTGCTACCACTAAATAGAAAGAAAATGTTACCACATTCAACTAAATTAGACTAAATATAATAAATCAAGTATACCTGAAAACAGAGCAAAAGTAAAACCAATTTACAATAAAAAATATTAAAATTAAAATACCACTTTTGAACAGGTATTCATACTGCAAAAATGAAGTATTATTCTCTAAGTATGCATTTTATCCCTTTCATTATAGCAAAATCACACATTTGAAATAGAGGATCAAAATTACTTGTCCTCGCACTATTTATATTACTGCTTATATTAGACAACTGCCTTGAAAACTTTTGAATGATATGTAATAGACTTTTGATAGATATGACTTTTTCTTCCTATTTTTTAATTTATAAGATGTTAGAGTTAACTTTCAATCTCCTAGTAATACTTTAAAAGCTAGGATTAAATTCAGCAGTTTCCTGTAACGCAGGAAAAGACTTCAGAACATCATGTTCTATAAAGATGGCGACTGTTTTAAGCCTATTACACTATAAACTAAGAGAGATTTATGGAAAAGTCATATGGTTTTCTAAGTAACATACTGCTGGTGGTAGAAACACTATTCAAATTCACACAATTTCAAATTTTTAAGAAACGAAAATGTTTGTACTTCTGCTTTAGCTATTGCCTAAAGCAGATGTGCTCTCCCTTGCAAATGGAATAGTTGAACTTTTTGCTGATAATAAAGTTGCTTATAATTGATAGTAAAATATATTCCAAGTGTCTTGTTTTGATAGTAGTGCTGGTATCCTTTAATAATTTCCGATAATGTATGTGTTGAATAATGTGACATTTTTAAAATTATCAGATTTATCCAAAATATTTACCATCAAAGTTGGGCTTTCAAATATTTTTCCTTGATTAGTTTTTAGCCAAAACTAAACCTGTGTAGGAGGCAGAAAAGTGAATTTAATTCTTTTAGATAAACAGCCTATTTAATTTCCATGCTAATAGTAACTTAAAATTATTCCATGACTTGTAATAATGTGGGAGAAATTAACTTAAAAGCAGGTCTCATGATGGTCAGTCTTCCACATACACACACACACACACACACACACACACACACACACACACACACATATCTAACTTCTAGGCAGATTTCTTTCTCTATAATAAGTTCTGTCCAAAAGATCAGTGGTTTGGAGAGGGAGCAAATATTTAGTGCTGGTTAAGTTTGCAAGCAGTACCTGATGATTTCCACTACTACTTTGTCAAACCAGTAATTATCTGGTAGAGAGAGGGGGTAGTCAAGAAATTGGTCATTAAAGTTATTACAATACTTCAGAAAACATTAAACATATGACAAACATTTCTTACAAGGCAGTCATTGAATAATTAGAATCAGCAGTCAGAAGAATTATGTTGCTGAAAACATAGTTATACATTATGTTCATCCAACTGAAGATTAGTGCATTAAAAAAAAGTTAAGAAAAAATCTTTTTATGTTCCAGTTCAGCTGCACTTGATTCAAGTGTTGCTCATAGAGGTTTGTGTTGTTATAAATTAAACATGCTGCTGCCTTAGCAGCCAAATGTACTAGGAAAATGTTCATGTCACAGAATAAATAGAGCAGTCTCTTTCGAGCAAAAAGTTATCTCACACCAATCCGGGAGGTCATCCACTCTAGACCTTGGCATAACCTGAAACAAAAGACAGAAGTATTTTCAAAATGGAAATATTTAGAATTTAAAGCATACTTAGTATTTTTAAATCTTACCCAAATGTTGATACTGCGATAATGATTATACAGGTAAGTGAAATATGTAGGTAACACCATAAGAAGTGCAATTTTTAAGCGGAAGATTCACTTAGACAAAATGATGGTAATCAGAATAGTTGAGTAACTGGGAAATGGTTTCAGTCTCATCTTGAGGATAACCGTTTGGGCAGTTTTACCATCAAGATTGCAATTACTCCTCTCGCCCTTTTAAGATTAAAACTGAAACCACTATAGAAAGACAACAGGAACTCTGCCTTACCCTCCTAAATCCTAAAGAATGGAATGCTTATGGCCCAGTCGCAGAAGCATAGGTCAAAAAAGTCTACATCTACTATTATATTACAAGCTATTTCTAATATGAGCATAACTAAGAAGGTCAGGTTGATTAGAGGAGAAATAAACTCCTGGAAATCAACTGGATAAGTCATGTCTAACATGCTGGGTTCTCTTTGGCCTACTCTATCCAAACTCAAGTTCTTAGGAAAGAAGAATATACTCTAAGAAGCATTTATCGCCAATGTTTCCTCTCTCGAAGTATGCCCCCTGAAGGAACTCCTGATTGGAAAGGAGATGTACTCTTGTGGAAAGCTGAGAGCTCATGCTTAATTAAGCCTTTATAGAAAATGTGAAATTTCTTTGAAGCTTCCTCTTTAATCCAGGCAACATTCCGGTTGTCCCCGCCCCAGCTAGTCAATGATATAAGCAAGAAATGAACAGCAACTAAAAATCTGGATTGGGACAACTTAATTCAAATGTTTGTTATTGACTTTTTCTGGTAAAACCTTTTGTTTATATTAAAAGTTACAAAAAAATGTGTCAATAACTCTGCTCAACTGTAACTTAACAACAGTAACGGACTAAAATAATTTCCACCTTATAAAACTGAAATACAATATAAAAGCTATCTTTAAGAACAAAAAAGGGAACAGGATCAAAGAAAAGTTGATAGAAATTTGAAAGAAGTCATACCTCCCATCCTATCGTTTAACACTTACCCTTCTCCTGTTAAAGCACAGCAGGACTGAATGTGCCATGGATGATCTTTAATTGAACTAAGGGTGAGGTATTTAGAGATTTCAGCTGCTGTCATGCACCCTTTCATATCTTGTTTATTTGCAAAGATAAGGACTGCAGCCTTCCGTAGATCCTGCAATCAATATGAAATATTTCTAATACAAGAAATACCACGATTCAATTTAAACTAATACATCAGGAAGGTCAGATATGCCCAACTGGACAGTTATAATGAAATCCTCCTACTTTCAATGATTAGGCAGTAATATTTAATTTAAAAATTTTATTGAGAGCTGCCTAGCTGGCTCAGTCAGTAGAACACACAACTCCTGATCTCGGGGTTGTGAGTTCAAGCCCCATGTTGGGCTTAGAGCTTACTTAAAAAATAAAAACTCAAAAAAATAAATAAATAAAAGTTGTATTGAAATGAAAATTTTCTCAAATAATAGAGATTTAATGACTGACTCTAACAGAGATAGGCTTATTAACATAAGCCAGGTAATCAAAAGTTATTTTATATTGTTGGGCCAAGGGGGTCAAACTAAAAGTAAAATAAACATGCACCTTAAACACGGATTTAAAACTCTATGAGCAATACTCTAATGGCCAAATATGGTAATATGTTACCAAATACTACAGAATTTCTCCAAATTTAAAGAAGAGGACTGAGGGTAAGGGCTGGGTAATACTTATTTTACTTACTAGTATTGGTATAGACTAACTGCATTCATTAATAGTCACTGTAGAATTGTTCATACTATCAAAATTTAGAAACAACCTAAATGTTCATTAATAAAAGAACAGATCAAAAAAATAGATCAAATGTAGTTTAATCATACACTACATATCAAAAACAATGAACTAAAGCTCTATGTACTGACATGGATAATCACAATATTGTGCAAAAAAAACCCAAAACTGAGTTACAGGGAAAAAAATCCTTATCATTATGTAAGAGTTTATGAACAATGAAATATAAATCAACTGACAAAAATGTAGGGAAAGTATAAAAATATACATGGGATTGATAATCACTACTTTTAGGATAATGTAATTCTTTCAGAATTGAGAGAAAGGAAGAAAATGAGATTGGTGGTCACATATTTCATATCTTATACTGAATGGATGGTGGACAAATGTGTTTTATTATCTAAGTCTTTCGTGTATCTGAAATAGAATTAAGTGATCTCATACTATTCACTAAAGAATTTTTAGTTATTATAAACTCTTAGGAAAAAAAAAACCACTTAAATTTTCCTCTTTCTTGCTTTAATTTATCAGACTCTTTAAGGCTTGAATAAGTGGTTTAAACTTTGAAAAATCTTGTCAATAACAGTAATACTCTACAAATTAACGTGTTGAGCTTTTTCAAGTTTGAAAATGTAATGGAACTTTCTGACTTTAAGAATTTCATCAAGGGGCGCCTGGGTGGTTCAGTCATTAAGCGTCTGCCTTCAGCTCAGGTCATGATCCCAGGGTCCTGGGATCGAGCCCCGCATCAGGCTCCCTGCTCGGCAGGAAGCCTGCTTCTCCCTCTCCCACTCCCCCTGCTTGTGTTCCCTCTCTCACTGTGTCTCTCTCTGTCAAATAAATAAAATCTTAAAAAAAAAACACACACACAAAAAACAAAAACTTTCATCAAAATATAAAATTCTGTTAATGATGAAATAACCAACAGCAAAGCCCATAATCTTTGTAAAAAAGCACCAGTATACAGATACCTTACTCCATGGTTTAAGTTTGCTTTCAAAATTTACCTCATGAGCCAACATTCTGTACAATTCTTCTTTTGTAATGGCTAGTCGTTCCCTGTCAATGCTATCAACAACAAGAATGATGAACTAAAAGACAATCAAAAAGAAAGGAAATTGAATGAAATCTTCAAGTTTTCGGCAAAACTCTCAAGTGAGAGTACTTTCTTCACATGACGTCATCCTTACCATAAAATGGTCTACTGCTTTTTCATCATAAAGAGTTTATATTATACTGTAAAATCCAAATGTTAATAAGAAAATAACTCATAATTTCAACAAATAACTATGCCCAAAGCTTATTTTAAAAAGGTGATGTCTTAATACATAATACTCTGTAACACTAAGATTTATTTTTAAATGCAGGTAATAAAAAATAATTTTCAAAGAAAAAGTCATGGTAATTTAAATAACTTTTACTAAAACTTGAAAGTACTCTAATTGCTCATTTAAGCAATCAGTAATTATTTCGGTTTCAGTCTCCTGTCTATTAGAAAGGAGCACACAAGTTTGAAAGAAAGAGAAACAAATTAAAAAAAAAACAAAAAAACAACTAATGAACAAGACATTTTAACATAACAAGATCAACAATAAAAGCCCCAGAAAAAATGTGCTAACTAGAAACATACCTACTTAGCGGTTAATATGCTAGAGGGGATGCAGGCGAAATGAAAGAGGAGCAAGCTAAGAGGACTGGAGAAAGCTGCTGGTAAAGGTGCGTATGAAAACAGGTGGGTCTCATACGTTAAAAATAAAAGGATCTTTGGTAAGAAAAATAAGAAGATACAGTGCAAAGGGCCCCTAACTGAATATCTTAGAAGAAAAAGTTAAGAAGTGAGATTAAAGAGATGCTAAAGGTCATAATAGAGGAATGACACAGAATAAATGGAGAGAGAGGGTGACACCAGATTGTTTAGAAGACCTTAAAATTTGGCAGAGAGACAACTAGAGTGATCTGCTTATAAAATGTGAATGGCTTCAAAGGGCATAAAAGGGAAGAAAGGGAAGAAATGTGGCAAAGTGAATATGGGGAAGTGACTCTACTGAGAGGGGTGTGCCAGGCATCTGCCAACAGCTGAACTCCTTGCAATGTGACAGAGACCTTCGGCTTTTGGCCTTTGGAGGACTCGTCAAGGTAAGGAATTGAAGAAGCTGATGAGGGTGAACAAAGCCATCAGGGAACCACCACATAGACAGGATCCCCACCCGGCATCTAAGACTGCAAATGCTCGGTGCTATGCTGGGGTGCTGCAGTAAAGGCCAAAGTGTCTTTGTGTAGCAATTCTGAAATTCTTAGAGAAAGAGTTTATTAAAAAAAACATTTCATGCAAATGGTGTCATTAATAACGTATTTCTTTCTTTCTGGACCCACGCTAAGTCTTCTAGAGTTCCTGCAACTTCAGAAACTACCCTTTTGTAATGCTATAAATATACATGGATCAGCTAGAACCAACTCTAACCTACTACTCATCAGAACTGATGGTTCCTCTCTCTCACACCTGCAGTTACCTGTGAGCTTTGCACAGGCAGCAACAGCTATGCTGCTTAAATACAGGTGAACAGCATGGGTCTGAACTGAGCAGATCCCCTTAAATGTGATGTTTTAACTGTGTAGCCAGTGCTGTAAATGCATTTTCTCTTAATGATTTTCTTAATAACATTCTTTTCTCTAGCTTACTTTATTGTCAGAATACAGTATATAATCCGTACAACATAAGAAACACGTGTTAATCCACTCTTTACGTTATCGGTAAGGCTTCTGGTCAACAGTAGGCTATCAGTCAAGTTTTTGGGGAGTCAAGTTGTATGTGGATTTTGGACTGTGTAAGCGGGTCAGGGTCCCTAACCCTTGCATCGTTCAAGGGGCAACTGCTATCATGCTAAAAGGTTGTTCTTCTCTTACTTTCTAACATGTTTTAGTTTTGGAATGTTATTTTATGATAGAAGTATGTATTAAGCTAACCTACAACCATATTTGCTTACCATCCTATCTTCCCCTGCAAATAAAAAGAATTAAGTGCTAGCACCACTGCTAAAGATCTATGATACGCCATTTGGTTTTGACAGTCACAAACTGCAGTGGAATATATCCACCCACATACTCACGTGATTGTAATATAATCATAAAAGAAACTTATTCACCAAAACTTTGCAACTCCCCACCTCCTCTGCACACTTCCCTTCAAAACACCCACTCAATTTTTAATAGGCTTCATTTTAGAAAAAAAATAATTGGTTAGATGTACCTGTTTGTAAAGAGAAATTATGGATGTAATTGTACATTAGTATACTCAAAGATAAATCTCTCAACAGCACTGCATTGGTTTTAAAAAAAATCTGCCTCTAACAAGAAATAAAAACAGAAATAGAAACTAGTCCAGATTGTTTCCCAGGTTGGCTCTGAAGTAGTAAAATAATGAAATAACTGACAGAGAATTTGGCAGGTGGCGGGGGGGGGGTCGGCAGGGGCTGCAGTAAATCCATTTTTTTTTTAACTAAAATATAATCTCACCAAAAATTTGAATTTTGAAAATCTTGTATTAAATGATGCTTAAAATATTTTATTCCTCCCCTAACCAGAGCCTCATAAAGCTGTGAGATCTTGGGACAGGTTATCTGATTGATTCCAGTCTCCACTTTCTCCAACAGTAATGTTACAGGATTACTGGGAGGATGAGCTCAGAGTCTGCACTACAGTAAACCCACAACAAACAGTGCATGTTACTCTCTCTACTGGCCTTTTCTCTTCTATTTGAAAACCTCACATTCCGTATAGAACACGATGTTACTGAGAAGCAAATGTCAATATGCCTTCATGTACAGCCTATCTACTTTCTGGGTTTACTCTTTGGTTCTCTGTATTAAAATTCAGAAGGCAGCTTAGATACCTCTGTGTTTGAGTAATATGTGTTCCAGGATGAGCGCAGTGATTCTTGACCACCAATATCCCACATAAGAAAATGAGTGTTCTTCACAACTATCTCTTCAACGTTGCTTCCTATGGTTGGAGATGTATGAACCACTTCATTCATTAAGCTGTTGAAAGACACCATAAAAAAAACCTTTTGTAAATCTTGAGAATCCAAAGGAAGTTTTACCTCTATGTTTTTATTACCAATCACCCTTCCTCATTTGTACCGATGGTCATCATAAGCATCAAAACTAGAACCTTAGAGAACATTTGTGCAAACAAATATCTAGACAAAGAACAACTCCTGAAGGAAGACTCTTTTTTTTTTCTTTTAGTGGAATAAATAAACTAAAGGCTTGATCTGGAGCGAAAGGAACACCGTGGTGTGAGTTTGTATTTCTGTGGCCAAAATTCCAAAACCACCATGCCCTGCTAATCAAAGTAGAACCAGTGCCCCTTTCTGAAAGAGCAAGTTTACTGGTGACTGTGATATCAGTATTTGCAAAGTAGCAACCACTGAAGAGTAGGCTATATATAACTCTGGAAGACTGTCTAGGGGAGAAAATTGAGACTCAGGCCTATCAGCCTTAAAAAGATAGGGCTATATGCAAATGACAATTTTAATTAAAAGAACTATAAATATATTTACAACACCAATGCTCATACCACATATATTACCATAATTACTGGCTAAGCAACATGAATTAATTCATTCAACAAATACGTACTTGCCTAGAGTAAGTTGGTACTGTGTTGGAAGAAGCCTACAACTGTACTGTCTCTTGGGTTTTATGTATCTTTTTGAAGCTACATGGAAAATTATTTCAACAACTGACAGGTTTCTGAAATGTTTATATCTGACGTTTGAAGGCAAAGTCATATTAAATATATAATGGCCAATGAATGAATATTTTAAAGTAAAACAAGTAGTTATTCGCCTCTAAAACAACAAGCCACAAGTTAGGAGCTTTTTAGCAAAGTAGCTGAAAAATACATTAGGCACTGCGTAAGTGAAGTATTTCTGGAGAGCTGTCAGCTGATACACTTAAGATGAGGTGGAAAGAGATAAGAGCCCAACCACAGTGCACTGTATCTAATAACTATTTGCTAAAATGCTTGGGACACAGATCCATTTCCACTGCTTAACATAGATCGGCTGATGAACACTGAAAGGGTAACAGGAGCTACTTTGACAAGTGGATTGATGGGCTGTTAAAATTTCCTGCAAGTATTAATGTATTTCTCTGGAAGTCTCAAGCCTTTCCCTGCTGCAAGCTAGAAAAGCAGTACTTTCAGGGATGATCTTCATTTCTTTTGATTTGACAAGTCTGGCTACGTTCAACAATTCAGAGCTATTAGTCAGGAGAGTAGCTATAAGCTTCCTAGAGATATCCATCTATTCACATGAACCGCAGTTCGGGAAGAATTAAGTAAATGCACTTTATCACTTCACTCCAGTACTATTATATGTGCTTTATTTATTTTAGTTTAATATTAATTCTTTCTTTCAAGGCCAGAAAAAACAAGTGTTTGTAAAGGCTTCTGCAAACATACAGCAGTTTTATTCACTTTTTAAACAAATTTTGTTTGATTGCTTCTTGGCCTTTTGGCTAAGATCAAGTGCAAACAAATTTTGTGTTTGGTAAAATACAAAACCATATGTTGGAGCTTTTTCGTTATATTACAATGGTACCTTATTAATTACATAAAACTAGTTTTAATAACTAAAATAATGAAAACTGTTTAAGTAAATAACTGTACTTACAATTGGTAAAGAATGGTGGTTTTCCCTGCATTATCCAGTCCCACTATAATTACTTTGTGTTCTACAAAAAGAAAACAAACCATAAACATTTAACACTACTGTATACTACAATTACATGCTTTCAGCCATGATTATTAGTTAGTTTTCTAATGAGAATCAGTCACTGGATACTTATTACTGGATTCTTAAAATACAGAGTAAAGAGAACTTCATGGTGTCAAGGTCACCTGCGTTAACTGAGGCAAATTGGTATGATGTCCTCCACCTGTGAGGTATAGGTAGGCGGGAAGTACAAGAGAACCTGCTCACTTATAATGCTGAGTCTGGGAGGAAAAACACAAATTCTGGTCCTGACAAGGCATTATGACTTAAAATATAAGTTTAAAAAAAATTCTTTGGGGGCAGCTGGGTGGCTCAGTGGGTTAAGCGTCAGACTCTTGATTTTGGCTCAGGTTCTGACCTCAGGGTCCTGAGATCCAGCCCTGCATCGGGCTCCACACTCAGTGGGGAGTCTGCTTGTCCCTTTCCCTCTGCTCCTGTGAGCCCACCTCCTCGTCAAATAAATAAAATCTTAAAAAAAAAATTGTTTTACACATCTGCTTGTCATCTCTGCTAATCAAACTAGTTTTTTTTAATCTAAAGATTTTATTTATTTGACAGAGAGAGACACAGCGAGAGAGGGAACACAAGCAGGGGGAGTAGGAGAGGGAGAAGCAGGCTTCCCGCCGAGCAGGGAGCCCGACGCGGGGCTCGATCCCAGCACCCTGGGACCATGACCCGAGCCGAAGGCAGACGCCTAACGACTGAGCCACCCAGGCGCCCCTGGATTTTACAACTGTCTTGAGCAGATACCATTTCTGCTCTTCATGCAACAAAAACTTCCTCCGCCTTCTTCCAGTGCCATGCACAGAACCGTCACTTGTCTCATAGACAGATTTTAAAGCCCATCTAATTTTTCTGTTAAGTGGTACATATTCTGAAACCTCCTTTGAACACAGAGGAAAAACATTCTAGAATCCTCTTTCCTAGATTTTAACCTTTACAGAAGATACCTCTCTTCCCCAGGGCAGAATACTTAAAAAGTGAACCTCTATAAGAACCACAACACAATCGATTTTTATTTATTTATTTATCTGCCTGCAAGAGAGCACGAATGTGCACAAGCAGGGAGAGCAGCAAGCAGAGGGAGAAGCAGGCTCCCCGCGGAGCAGGGAGCCCAATGCGGGACTCGATCCCAGGACCCTGAGATCATGACCTGAGCCAAAGGCAGACATTCAACCAACTGAGCCACCCAGGCATCCCCAGTCGATTTATTTTTAGCCAATGATTTGACATAGTTCTTATCAGAACACTGCTCCTTGGGGCACCTGGGTGGCTCAGTCGTTAAGTGTCGGCCTTCGGCTCAGGTCATGATCCCAGGGTCCTGGGATCGAGCCCCACATCGGGCTCCCTGCTCCACGGGAGGCCTGCTTCTCCCTCTCCCACTCCCCCCCCTTGTGTTCCCTCTCTCGCTGTGTCTCTCTGTCAAATAAATCAATAAAATCTTTAAAAAAAAAAAAAATAACCCTGCTCCTCTTGTTAACCTGTGATGAATGTCAGAATTTTGATTATACACCTAAGAGAATATATCATCTCGTGTTCTTCCTCTAAAGTGTTACTTTGTATCAGTCAAAAAGAGGGGCCATAATTCACAGACAAGTTCTTTGGTGACTGTGCCTTCTAATGACCTGACCACTGTCAGTCCTGCCTCTAATATTGCAGAACAAATGCCACGGTCCTCTGGAAGGGCTTTTTTCACTATGGCAGAAGCTGCTCTGCAAAAAAACAAAACAGAACAAAACTTGTTTGCTTACTGTAACTCACTGTAATTCTCCTTTTTTGACTCTTTCCATTCATATCCCTTAATTTCTAACAGAGCCAATCTTTAAGTGTTGCCCTATCTTTCTCCCTTCTGCTACAAGAAGGAGAACCCTTTTACTAGCGGAAGAATAAACTTTCTAAATTTTGGTGACAGCTGGAAACCACCTGCCTGGCATATGGAGACCATGGGGTCCCTGCAGGAGTAAGAAGGAAGCCACTAGTCTGGAAGGAGGCTAAACTTGGGGGCAGATACTTCTGCCGGGGGAGGGGAACAGAAGTAGTACCAGGTGGTTGGTTCACTGTTGAGGCAACTGAAGTGAACCAACACCCAGGGCCATTTTCAAAGAGTCCTGCTCTCGGCTTCACATTTTGTATTATGATGACGATCACGGTACTGAAGGCATGTGATGCCAAAACTCATAAATAATACATCATTTTGAAAGACTGGTGCCCAATGTGAACTAAGTCAGGGGTGACAAACTCTGAAGGGGGATAGAGTATGAGTTTTGTTACAGTTTCAACTGCATGATTAACTTAAGGTCTTTTTCAGATTCCTTTATCCCTGCTCAGTGATAGGGAATTCTAGCAATTAAGACAAAACACACAATTTCAACTCTACCAATGTATTAACATCAATCCTTCAGTTAAACCGAGGCCTATCTTCTGATATTATCATCAACAACCTGAGTCTATATAACAAAACATCAACAGAAAAGAGCTAAATGCTTTTTAAAAGCACGAAGTAACGGAGTTTATTTTAAATGTTTTCTTTGAAGAAAAAAATCTCCTTAACATCATCTGTACAGTAAGAAGGAAATCAAGTTCAAAGAGCATTTACTAAAAAGCCAAGTACAAAATAAGAGCTGTTTCTACTCTGCGGCATAACTGTAATTCCTCTGTCTTCTTTCAAATGCCCCCGTTGTCCTTAGCTGCTACTGGACTACGCCAATGACCGAAAGACTTTAGTTCCCAAATGCTAGTTAGTACAGTTTTTACCTATTCATGGGACGATGAGAAAAACACAGACAGTGACACATACTCTTGTTGTAAGCAGAAAGGGAAATTAATGTGTTGCTTTAAATGTACACCAGTGGTGTCTAGATTAATAAAGTATAAATCGTGTGGCGGTATAGGATATTGGTTGATGTTTCTTTAAAAACATGACTTAAGGTGCTTGTTCTGTATCGCTGTCTTTTTGGTTGGGCATAATCAACAGGCCACACACAAATCTTATTTTATGTATTGAAACAGAAAAATATCCACTGAACAAATAATGCAATATATGTTAAGAAAAAAAAAAAGAAAAAGAAGATAGCAGGAGGGGAAGAATGAAGGGGGGGGGGGCGGGGGGGGGGGGGGAGACGAACCATGAGAGATGATGGACTCTGAAAAACAAACTGAGGGTTCTGGAGGGGAGGGGGCTGGGGGGATGGGTTAGCCTGGTGATGGGTATTAAAGAGGGCACGTTCTGCATGGACCACTGGGTGTTACACGCAAACAATGAATCATGGAACACTACATCAAAGACTAATGATGTAATATATGGTGATTAACATAACAATAAAAAATAAAAAACCTAATGATGTAATGTGTGGTGATTAACATAACAATAAAAAATTTAAAGAGAAAAAAAAAGAAAAATATCCACTGAACTGTGTTAGTGATTTCCTGTGGTCATGATAAAACCGTTTCCTTCACCTATCATAGTTAACAAAAGCAGATATAAAGAGATGCTTGTAAGTTTGTACTATTTATATCACCCAGCAATAATTTTTATTATTTGTTTACCTAGTAGGTTAAAAAAAACTTTCAAAATATATCATTAGAGTTCAATTCAGTCTTGGTTAAGGTGAGAAAGAATCTACCCTAACGGTCAGATTTTTGAATTGCTGCCAATCAGATGAGCATTAACCATTTAACATCACTTTTACTTAGAGACCCACTGAAATGTCTGAAGTTGTGAGGAGAAAACTATACAACTGTATACTTTCACAACTTCAACCGATCCTCAACATGCATACATAAGCTATAGATTCTTCTAACTCCTCCAATTACTCTCCAAGAAAATGAAATACTTAGCTGATAGACTGAGACACAGTCAATTCTTATGTAACCTTAAAAAGGGAAAACTAGGGCAACCCTCTTGGGTCCCCTCGCTCTTTGGGAGCTTTGAACTATTGCTCAATAAACTTTGCTTTGCTGCCCACCAAAAAAAAATAGGGAAAACTATAAACATGGATAATACAAAATTCTTTATTTAGAATGAATTTTGCAAATGTAATTACAGACATTTACTTTCTTTATTGTTTTTTCAGTAGCATTATTAAAATCAGTATGGGGTCACAGAGTAGAAGTTGCCCATGTTTGGGGCCAGAAATGTGTATGTTGGGGATGGAGTGTGTACAACTTAAAACTTTCACGGATAGGGCGCCTGGGTGGCTCAGTCGGTTAAGCGACTGGCTTCGGCTCAGGTCATGATCCTGGAGTCCCGGGATCGAGTCCCGCATCGGGCTCCCTGCTCGGCGGGGAGTCTGCTTCTCCTCTGACCCTCCTCCCTGTCATGTGCTCTCTCTCTCTCTCAAATAAATAAATAAAATCTTTAAAAAAAAAAAAAAACTTTCATGGATAGCCAAGTAAAGTTTGGGTACCATAAGAATCAGAGTTACAATGAATCCAAATGGTTTGGCTGTTTGTTCATTTAAAGATTTTATTTTTAAATAATCTCTACACCCAACCTGGGGCTTGAACTCACAGCCCTGAAATCAAGAGTCAAACACTCTACCGACTGAGCCAGCCAGGTGCCCCAAAACCGTTATGTTTCTAAAATGTGCCTGCATACCACGAGATGGTCACCTTGCCATCATATTTCACCAGAAATCTCTTCCAGGAGACCAAGCTGCACCTCTCCCCACAACAGAGGTCTGGGAGAAGAGCACTTACTAATCCATGCACCTCCAGAGTCAACACAAAGCATGTTTATTTATACTGAATGAAGGTCCAGTTGCAGAGCTTTTGTTTAATTTTGATCAAGTGTCTACACAAAAGTTTCCCTGCACTCTTGGCTATGGTGTTTGTTCTCTTGGATCTCCTTAAAAGTTGGCTCATACCATTTTGTGAGCAGGGCATAAAGACATAAAGCCTATACAGAATGAGCGTCAAAAGAAAATTAGTAAGAGCACTTGCTTGAGGACAAACACAGGT